TTTAAAAGCGCAATCTGTCCTGATGACCTACCAATTCTTTTGACCGCTCATGGTTATGAAAAAATTTTTAACTAATTACAAATTATTTATTTTTAACTAAAGACTAGCATATGTGAAAATAATTTATAAGTAAGTTGTTTTGAAGGCTTGTAATTAATATAGCTAACCATAGGATGTGGAAGTGTTCATGTTTGAAAGGAAGAAGAAAAATCGCAAATATACACTACACATAGACCATAAGGAAAAAACTCAACATATACATAAGTGAAAATTAAGTAAGTAAAGAAACAAGCATGGATTGTTGCCCATATCAATCAAGACGAAATTAGTAATTAAAACCTGCTAAAATCCTTGTCCTTGTTTATACATTGCATACAACAACACCACTACTGTAATCAAAATATGTATGATACTTCTACTTATTGCCTGAATTCTCACCATCAATTTTGAGAGAGGTCATATTGACACATAACCACCAGCACAACCATTTTGCCATGCTAAGTTGGACAAATCAGTACCACCAATAGCATACTTCCAAACATCCTCCATATTGAAATCAGAGGGGATCATGGTACCCCCTGATAAATGGACCGGTTCCATACTCAAATTAGAGGGCATCATGGTACCCTTTGATAAATGGAACGGTTCAGTGAACTCTTGAGTACTTTGAGTAATTGCTTCGAGCCCACCATGAGAATTAGTGTATCCTTGGAAATCTTGAAATAGATCATGAGGAAATTGGAAACTAGAAAGATCATAGATAACCTGGTTTGAATTGGCATCACCTCCTGTGTCTAGAGCGCTGGTAATATACTCCATACATTGATCGTTTGTAGAACCAGCAGCCAAATCATTGTCCTCATTCTGCATGGGAGCTTCATTCACTGTAAGACACTGGTCAAGATTTTCCCTCATCAATTCTTCCGTGTCACCTTCATTTTCATCTTTGTTTTTGCGTTTTATGTTCATATACAATCTACACAAAACTGGATCCGACTGTCAAAAATGAACAACATGTTAGTAATGTATAATGGAGTTTGGAAATAAAAAAAGCCATGCAAATGGACAGCCTATATTATTTGAGAAGTGGTTACTGAGCACTTAGTAGAATATTGTTGTAAAGACTTGTAGATTAAGAAGTGGACACCACTACTCTTTTACATAATAGTGTATGTATGTACTATACTGACAGAAATCAAGAAGTAAATTGTTCTTGACTTGGTGGGTAGAGCTCGGTTGTCAAAGAGTTTTAATCACCACTTCCCGAAAATTATCAAAAAAAAAAAAAAAAACCCTAACTTGTTTCCTACTGAAAACTTATTCTTATGCTGTATATGAAGATTTCTACCTTCTAATGATTATATCTGTTGGACTCAAGCATGAAAACTGGGAGCGCAGGGAGAGGAAATCTCCTCCCAAGTTCTATATATTCATATTTTTTTTGAAAATTTTTCTATGTTGGTTCTGAAATTTACATGTGCATGCATGTTACATCTTCAAATCCATCGTTGGTTGGGCAACATATATGTCTAGCTACCTAGGCGCACTATGTGTATAAACATCCAAAATGTGCCTATATATCCAAACTAAGACATGCATAGATAACACATAAAAGACATTAAAATGTTTCATGAAATAATCAGATGAGAAGGAGAAGAGAAGAAGTGAGAATAAGCATAGCATGAATTGTTATTCTTATTACTGTCCATTGAAAAGATTATAAGAATACCTTGAAGTATATAAATAATATATAAAGCAAGTTAATCAGAAAATAAGTACTGGCTTGTACCTTGGGGTTATTTGCATGAATTCTATATTCATGCATCTTCCAAGCCGTTTTTTGACCAGGCCCAAGTAAGAAATCTAGTGACTTCCGGTAGCCGACGGTATTGCCATTGTAATAAATCTTCTTGTCTTTGCCGGTGGGTTTCCAAAATCCACCATCTCCACATGATCGAGAGGGACGGCTGCCTTTGGGGTATTTGTTCGTCAAATAGGTGAAGAAGTACCATCCGTTCACGTTATGAAAGCTATCCGATTTGTATCTATCTGCGCATATATAATCAAAAAAGAAATAAGCAAATATATAGCATAGTCATGCAATATTACAACAAAATAAAGAAAAAGGGGATCATAATTTATTTATCAAGGCTGCTTTTATTCAAATTTTGTTAGGGACAAATACCCATTTTTCAGACAGACAAGAATGTTAGTTATTAAATTAGACACATAGCCCAAACCCTAAACTAATCACTTTTACGTACGTGCATCAATGAGAAACCCTCTAACCCCAAATCTCATCTCTATGACGATGGTGTTTTCGTGATCTAAGGTGGTGGGTAGTATTTTAGGGTATCTTTTTGGTCCACCAACTATTTTTCGTGGAACACAATTCACAATAAAATCCACAATCGGAAGAAACCAATCAAAAAACTTGAAATCATGAAGCCTAAAGATGGTTTAAATTTCAAAGATTTTGCCTAATTAATTGGGGATTATGGAATTAAAAGGGGTTCAATTATGCTCTATCGTTAAACAGCAAACACTTGTACATAGCATATTGTTATAAGAACATCAGACTATGTCAAATACTTTCCTTCGCATGGAGTAAAGTTCCCGAAAGGGTTTTCAGAACATATTTATCGAGAAAACGCCTAAAAGATGTTTTCCGAGTTCTTTATCCGAAAACTAGAAAAACAACTGTTAGAATAACATAAAGTTTTTTCAATTGTATAGATACTAACTTGTAAGTTCTTGAGGATTGTGGCCGTAGACATTGGCTTCATGAATTCTGTTAAGTGGTAATGGAGCCTTGGCGATCCTTTTCCTCAAGTAGTGTACAATTAGCTCTTCATCAGTGGGGCAAAACCTGTAACCGCGAGGCATAGAATCCAGAAAATTCTGTGAATTTTCGTGGAGAATTATGCCTTGCTGAACCGGTTGCTGCTGATCATTGAGGAGATACGGCTGGTGTTGATGTTGCAGTGGCTGCTGCTGTTGGCCCTGCAAGGGCGGCCAGTGGTGGTGGAGGAGGTGATCATGGAGGAGGTATGGCTGCTCCTCCCTCTGCTGGTGGTGATTATCCATGCTTGTTGAATGTTGAAGAGGCTTCTTTCGCTGGAGGCGCAGTTACCTAAAATAAGCGCCAAATGAGGTATATATATATTTTTGTCGTTGGGCTGCCAACCTGGCACTAAATGTCCGGTACATCCGTACAAGTGGGGTCGGGTATAGACTCCAGTTGCAGTACAATTCTACTTCTTCTTCTACTTCTCCCCGAATTATACTCAATTATTTTGAAATTTTGGATAACAATAAGAACATTCTTCCATGCCGCCTGTCTATATATCATAATTTTTATAATTTAATACCTAAGGTAATAAAGTTTTAATAAATTTATAATCTAAGACAAAAGAATAAGAGTTAAAGTTGTCTTAATGTAGCATAATCTTTGAAAATTATAGTAATTTAATCCATATTTGTCGTTCCATAACTTTTAAATATTGTTAGTCCACATATAGATTTATGAATTAATCTTCTATATATTGGCACTTTCGCTATTGGATGCGTGATACACAATCTGAATTTAAATTAATCCAAATTTTATATATGTGTCATGTATCTAACCGTGATATTGTACACATTGTTAGTGTATATAAGAATAACTCTAGATTTATACATTTTTTTTTTCTAACTTATGGTATAGGTCCATACCCGTGTTATATCCATCCCATATTTTACTAACTATGCTTATCACTTTATTGTTGAAACTTAACATCGCACTTGTGAAGCTTACCCATAATATTCATGAAAATAAATTTAAGTTTTTTATGGACAAATAGTATGTAAATGGCTAAAACTATAATTTTATAATAATCTTAAATTTACATACCATAATCGAGTGTATATTGCTTCTTGTTTTGAAATTTGCACTAACTTCACTATTCCTATTATTGTTATTGGTAAAAATGCTTCGATTTAAAACACAATAAAATCAAATTTTGTGGCCTTTCTAATATAGTGGTTATTTTTACTCGAAAATTAGTAAATCTTGCTTACATTACACAGATTGTATGCTTTTTCACCAATATAATCAAAAGAACTTTATACCTTGACAAAACAAATAGAAAAAATGACAACACCATGAGTATAATGGTGAGCAACTGCCATACATGTCACATTATGAGTTTAGGCATGATTTGTATAAATAATAACTAATCTAATAATTGGTTGACATGCGATGCATATGACAGGTTAGGGGATTTCAATTGCAACATGAAAATGAAAATGTGATTCTTTTTAAAGAATATCAATAGTGGTTTTCTATAAATGGAAATATATTGTAGCATATACCACTTATGCATTGAAGGAATTTGTAGTTTGAATCGTAGCAATTGAGTACCTATTGCTTTTTAGTTTTTTAAGTACCTATTATTTATTTCATTACAAAGTTTAAATATTTACATTCAGATAGAGTAATGCTAATGACACTTCAATTATTGTTAACGACACTGAGTTTACCTTTATAAAAGTTGGTCAAGAAAATGAAGTGTCAATGACAACAATTGTTAAACTAAAACAATTTTCTTTCTTTTGGGAAAATCAAACTACTTTCCCAAGTATATATTTCACTTTTATGTTTTAAAAAATCTCAATCTGTTAATTAAATTCACAATGTTGCTATTATAAAAAATATTCCTTCTCAAATTAACATGAATGAGTAGATGTAAGATATAAATGTGGTAAAATATCGCTCATACACATGTCATGGATTTTTTAAATTTTCAACAAACAATGATTTTGTTGTTAAAAATATAACATGGTAATCTGTTGTGGTAATTATTTTAGGATTCTTTTGTACATGAAATGAATTTAATTTAAATTACACAATAGATTATATGGGCATGTGAATTTTTTTATTGGTTGAGGTAATTAATATCTTTTTATTGAACCGTTAGTGGTGATTGCTAGTCTTTTTTTTTTTTTTTTTTTTTAGCAGATTCAACGATCACAGATCATTTTCCCTTGATAAGTGATAACTAGTTCCATAATTTCTGTTGCCAAAACCAAGTTCACTTCTGGACACCCTTGCACTTGCGCACATACATGACATCGATAACCAGTATATCCTCAACGTAACAAGAAATATTTATTTCAACAGCACAACATCATTATCCATCAATGGATCAAAATTACTTTTATGTTTAAGACAGAAGATGCAGAAGGAGGGCGCAGAATAAGGAACAAGGTTCATATTTTGGCATCAGAATTTGCAGGAGTGAACTTGAGTGAAATGCTATTGACACAATGACGCTCGTCTGTTGGTGTCGGGAATCCTTCACCCTTAAACACATGACCAAGATGCCCACCACAAGCAGCACATGTAATTTCTATCCTCCTTCCATCTGGGTCAGGAGTGCGATTTATTGCTCCAGGAATGCCCTCATAGAACGCTGGCCATCCACATCCAGAGTTAAATTTAGTTGTGGACCTATACAGGGGAGTTCCACATCCTGCACAGTTGTAGACACCTTCACCATAGAACTTGTCATATTCCCCTGTACCTGGATACTCGGTCCCTTTTTGTCTGAGAATGCGGAACTGTTCAGGAGAAAGAACTGCACGCCATTCTTCCTCAGACTTCTGAACTGATCCGGGTGCAGCAGTCATGGCTACGACCCCACCTCTGATGCCTCTCTTGCTCTGATAGTGAACCGATGCCAAGTGGTGATTGCTAGTCAAGGGTGAAACTACAATAAAAAATAAAGTTAGTGAGAAAAGTGCAAATGGCTATGGGTTTTAGTGCTTAAAACAAAACAAAAAAAGGATAAAATTTTTCTTTTTGAGTTATAAAGTGTCCTTCCATGTGATAGAACTCTCTATTAAAATTTGAAACGGTTAAGAATTCACAAAATTTTTTAAATTTTAATAGTAAGTTTAACTTAAAGAAAAATAAATTTTATCAACCAGGAAATTTACTGAAATTGTAAATTTCCTATATGACTAAAACTTACTGTTTTAGGGGATGTACTTACCAATTTTCTAATAAACTTACCAACACTAATATTGATTATTTAATACGATATTGGAAAAAATGCTAAAAAACTAAGGGGGTGCTTGGTTGGAGGGTATAGGAATCAAGAATTGGATTGAGCCCCAAAATTGTTGCTTGGCTAATGGGTATAGGTTTTGAAATTTTGGAATGATTCATGAAAAATTAGTCACTCTCCATACCCAAGTAGATTGGAGGGTTTTGATGAATCCCACATTTGATTCCAAAATCTTAAAAAAAAAAATTATTTTTGGGATTTTTTTTAAATATATACTGGCTCTGTTTCTATATATTAATATTTATTATTTCAATTTTGTTTTATAATATGTATATTAATATATATTTAATATATATATAAATATATATATTTATTTCAATTGATATAATATATCTAATATACATATTAATATTAATATAATTTATATATATAATAAAATATAAATATTAATTGAAATATACATATTATAAAACAAAATTGAAATAAATATATTTATATATTTATATAAATATATTTTAAACAAAAATATTTATATATAAATATATATTATTTATTTCATTTGATATAATATATATAATATACATAATTGAAATATACATATTAATATTACTATAATTTATATATATATAATATACATAATTGAAATATACATATTAATATATATTAATATACATATTATAAAACAAAATTGAAATAAATATATTTATAAATTTATATAAATATATAAATCAATACTATCAAAACTATAATAGGCTTGAATACATTAGATGGTAATCACGAAGTTAACCAGTCTCATCTAATCAGATCTAAACTTGTAGATCTACACTATCAGTAGCATAAATAAGAAAGATGGTAATCACGAAGTTAATAAACTATTTTTCCTAAACAGATTATAAAGGATAGTGTGAAAATTTACAAGAAAAGATCTTACCTTTTGAGAAGAATTAACTATACATGACGACCATATTTCCATCATATTAAAGATAGTAAAATAAACCTACGAGAATAGATCTAAATCTTTTGAGAAAGATTAACTATGCATGACGACCATATTTCCAAACAAAATCATAAGATTGATAGTAAAAACCCATTTTCCCTGGATCTGATCTTGTGACACTTCCCCGTCCTAGAGCATCACACCCTAAGAACCTCAACGCCCCTACAGAGCCAAATCCCTCATGGTCTTACCTGGACCGGACGTTGGCACTTACTGGATCCATGTCATTCAATCAGATCCAAAGTTGTGAAATCAATACTATCAAAACTATAATAGACTTGAATACATTAGATGGTAATCACGAAGTTAACCAGTCTCATCTAATCAGATCTAAACTTGTAGATCTACACTATCAGTAGCATAAATAAGAAAGATGATAATCACGAAGTTAATAAATTTCATCAGGAAGATTTAATCTTGTAGATCTACACTACCAACATCATAATGGTATACTAAATATAAATAAATTTATAAATATATATAAATATATTTTAAACAAAAATATTTATATATAAATATATATTATTTATTTCAATTGATATAATATATATAATATACATAATTGAAATATACATATTAATATTACTATAATTTATATATATAATATACATAATTGAAATATACATATTAATATATATTAATATACATATTATAAAACAAAATTGAAATAAATATATTTATAAATTTATATAAATATATATAAATAAATATATTTATATAAATATATTTTAAACAGAAAATTAATATTTATATATGAATATATATATATGGTGGATGAGTATGTGGGATAAGCATTTGAACGAGGAAGAAGAAAGATATGAAAAGAAAAAAGAAATTAAAGGTAAAAAATTGATTATTAAATTTTGATACCCATTCCTTACCAATATTTACCAAGCAACCCCATTTGTAATCATACCTTTGTCCAAAACCCATACTAATTTTTTGTAAATGTTTCCAATTACAATTCCGATTCCTAAACATGAACCAAGCGGCCCCTAATCTTTTGCCAAAGTTAATGGAATCCGGCAGTAGTGGATTACCCCATTGTTGTTACTATGACTTGCAATACCGTAGCATTGTCCTTTAATAAGGACACGCTGGGAGAGGAATGGGTTGGATAGTAAGAAGGGGTGAATGTAAGTAAGAGAAATCTCCTATTTATATTTAAGAAAAAAAGTTCACAGTATAATGCAAGCAGAATAGTGAAGTTAAAAATTTGCTAGAGCGGAGGATGGGATTTAAAATCATTATGAAAAATGTTATCGAGTCCATAATATTGTTATTGAAATCTTATGATACGTGTTGCAAGTAAACCAAAAGGGATGCCAAGAAAAGGTTGTATAACATCCAAATAAAGAATGGAGTGTTTATTATTAGGTGGAAATCACACTCCACTACTAATCAAAACCAGGCCGATGGTAACGACTTAAAAAAAATTAAGTTTGATTTGTATTTTAATCAAGAACTCTTTTTTTTGTTAGAAGGTCAATTGTAATCCAACTAAACTACTGTGGGAGGCTCCAGACCCACAGTGACACCTATAAAAAAAGGAGGGTTATTATCACTTTACTCTCTTAACATTCAGTGCCACTATCAATTTTTTCCTTAACGTTATTTTATAGTCATTTTGCCTCCAAAACTAACGATCAAATTTAATGGAGTATATTAATTAAAGTAAAAAGACATGTTTAGCCCTTAAAATTATTATCACTTTATCCCCTTAAACTATAACCTCATTATCAATTTACTCCATAGAGTTTTTTTTAGACAATTTATCTCACCATTAAATTAACTTAGTAAGTTAAAGAGTTTTAGAAGAAAGTACCCTCCTTTTTGTATAATAAAAATAATAAAAAATTTAGAGTGACTCTTCTCCTTTTTAGTATCAAGAAAAAAAAGTCAAAGTGCTAATCTCTTTCTTCTTGACAATTTTATTAATATTGAAAAAATAGAAAGATAGGGAGGGGAATGGGAGAGAGAGAGAGAGAGAGTTCAATTCTTTTTTTTAAAATACAAATAAGAAAGAATTAAATACTTTTATTATATAAAAATTAATTCACTTTTCTGTTTACGACCAAATTCCAATCCTAATTCCGACAACCTTAAAGTAATATGATAATGCTAGACTCTTCTTTATTTTCTTTCTTTGCAAAATCTGATATTCTGTCTCCTTCTTTCCTATCTTCTTTTCTTTTCCAAATATTAATAAGTGTGAAAAAATTTTTGAGAAAACCATTTTATTTTTATGTTTTTGGATCTCTTAAAGTAAAAAAAAACGGAAGAATAACCTTTTCAATTTTTTTTTAATTATATACAAAAAAGAGTAAATATATTAAAATTTTTTTGACCATACTAGTTAGAGTAACGATGAGATAAAATGCCTAGAAAATAATGTTAGGAATTAAAACGACTGTATCACTATAATTTTAAGGGATAAAGTGATAATAATAATAATGTGATAATGCTATAAAATAACGGAATATTTTTGTCTAAAATTTCTTAATATGTTGGATTGAATTACTTATAGGGTGAAATGACTAAAAGATAATGTTAAGGGTTAAATTGATAGTAGTAATATAGTTTAAAGGGATAAAGCGATAATAATCCAAAAAAAATTAAGCTTGATATGTATTTTAATCAAGATTTTTGTTGGTATTTTAATGCAACTAAACTACTAGGGGAGGCACCTATTAAATCTACTAATGGAGATTTGATTGAGGCCACTGGCCATTTGGTCCAGTGGTCATCACCATAATGGTGATGCTGGAGGTCAGGGGATCAACCCCTGCCTCCCACAATTTGACCACAATATGTGGCTGGTCTTAGTTGACCATCCCTTTGCCCCTTCCCCTAGACTAGGCTAGAGTAGGTTATACAACATCTATCGTTGCGATAAAAAAAAAAGGATTTGATTGAGGGATCTGCTTCAGAAATTTATACTCATCACCGTACCCAAGTACGGCCACGTGCTCGCAATTCTTGGAGTTGGTATTTTAAGGATGATGTTTTTACCCGATCTTCAACATCGCCAAAAACTTCTAACCATAACTAGTAAAATGCTTTCATATCAATTACGAGATTAGTTATCAATTGGGATCAATACGTTGGTTCCTTTACAATGCCAATCCCATGTTTATTATTTTGACATTCAATTAATGTCTCACTCAATAGATAAGTGAAGCATATGATCTACACATGCTTATATAGTTCATTAGAAGATGCCGTTAGAATAAAGAAACTCAAGATCCAATCTCAAGTGCCAAGCAAGACCTTGAAAGTACTTTGGAGGTATTTGAATATCAAGAACTGAAATAAAAGAAATGAAGCTTCGTCATGTGGGATATCCAGAGATTCAAAGTACATAGTACAAATCACGCCAACCTATGAAGACTTCAGTACCCTTTGGAAATGGAATTGCAGACTTTATCACTCATCTCAACGGCTAGATTAATGTCCAAGATGGGCCTAATATTTGTTTTTTGTTTTGGGAACGAGAAATTGAGACAATCCGACACACTCAAGCCTGGTTGTATGGCATGATATTGATAACATGTCCCTCTTATCTATTCTTAGACCTTCTAACTTAAGTTTTAAATATATGTATACATTCTCATTTGCTTTTATCCTGCGTCACATTGGCAGTTTCACTGCTAAAAATGGCTTCCATT